CCCTTATTTCGATTTCCTGGACCCGCCACTGTTGAAGTACCATTTCCGGGCTCCTAGCTAGGGTAATATTTGTCCGTCGGGGAAAAGAGAAGGCTCCGTCAGGGAATACCATATCAAGGATACCCCTCACATGATGAGTAATTCACTGTGATCGTGGAAGCATTTCGACCTCGACTTTGTTCTGAAAATACAACAATTATGAAGTCATTACAGTAACTTGATGCCTATAATTTTTGATATTATTTTTATACTGCAATTTTATTCACAATTTATTCGGATTTTTTGTGCAATTAATCAACGCTGTAATTTTAATATTTTGATTTACTTTTTAACTACCCAACTAATTTTTCTATATTGTAAATTTATTGGACTTGTTGTATTACTGATAATTTTCTATTTTCATATTGATGTATTTTTCTATATTGTAATTTTACGAGCAATGACTTTTCTCAATGTAATTTCCTTTTGGACAAATATATTTGATTTAAATTTATAAATTGAATTGAATAAAATAATATATGTTGGTCTTAAAGCATGTAAGCGCTCCACATTATTACCCCTGGTCACTCGATCGATCAAACATGTATGGAACACATACTCAGCTCATGAGCAAGGCGAATTCCATAATTGCAGCTAGTAATCGGCGTAGTTGTGTTCGAACCGTCCTGGAGAGGCAAACGTAGATAAAGTAAGGACACAAGCAATCAAGCGTCCCCATACAAAAAAGTTCTATAGAGCTCTATAGAATTCTATAGAACTTTATATAGAGTTCTATGTAACTCTATAGAGGCAAAAAAATTCTATAGAAATGTTTTATAGAGTTTACGCATTCTATAGAATTTTAATATTTTCTATAGAATGTTGTATTCCACTCTATAGAAAATTAGTTTGTTGTACAATTTATGTATTGGTAACCTACAGTGGATTTTCAATAAATGTGTTATTGCAGAAGCTTGGTTTTGAATATGAAACATGATTAATAAATAATAATAATTAAAAAATAAATAAATAAAACTATTGCTTTTGGCTCATGGTCTGATGTTGAGTAACTAAATAATGCATAGATTTTAATATGTGTATCATTTTGTCGCAAATAATTATGTTTCATATTTCCGGGAAAATTTTATAGAAATCTATAACATTCTCTTTAGAAGCTGTATAGAAATTCTATAGAAAATTCTATAGACATCTATAACATTTGCTTTAGAAGTTGTATAGGAATTCTATAGAATATATCTGTGGAAATGTATAACAGATGCATAAGTTACAGTATCAATTAGCATGCTCACATTTTACGTTAAAATGTTAAAAACATTAAATTAAGCATTTAATTTAAACATTTAAGTTAAATTATACATTAAATTATAAACATTTAATTAAATGTTAAAAACAGCAAATACTTAGCCTTACATCACATTTTAAAATTGAAATGAAAAATGAATTTAATGCACATATTTGTAACAAATACTTAATTAATCTTACAAAACCATTAACCACAAACCACCATTATGGTAACCATTTTAAAGTTACTTGTTAGTGTAACCATGGAGGTATAATACCTCCATGGTGTAACTTAAAACCTAACTACTTTAATCATCATTCCAGATGGGACAGAGATGTTGTTTTCAATAACCAGACAATGGATCAGGCCGTGATAGGGGTCCAATTTATGAGTTGAGATGCACGATTTAGTAAATTATTTATTGTATGAAATGCTATATTATATATACTTTCCTACACAAAACAAATGATTAATTACAGAAGGTTTTATATAAATGCATTTAATAAGAATTATAACTCAACTGGTCTTAAATGGTTTCCCCGCCCCTCTATTAAACATGGTACATTCCTCAACTGGGTGGTGAAATTTGAAAGCTAACGGAACGGTCTTCATCGACATCTCTCTCGCTTGCTGCACCCTTTGTTGTTGCGATGTCCTCCTTTTGTTCAGTAATAATTGGGGTAATAATCGCAAACTGATATTTTATTGAAATGGTTAATACCTGTAGCAATGTCTATGTACTAGTTAAATGGACGTTCTTCCGTTGAAACTCAACCTAGCCTAGGATAGCCGCTAGGCCTATTCTGTTGCTATTTGGAAAAAAAGAAGAGTCCGCAACATGCCAAGGTCTCTAGGCCTATGCACAGTCAGTATTGTGGTAAGTAAAGAAAACATAATCTCCTTTTGTCCATTACTGTACGCCTTTCACATTATGCCTAGTTACTTATTCTAGCCTAGGCCTAGATATAATTGTGTAGCTAAGTATCAAGTTTAGTTCAGTCAGTCAGTGCAGTGGCAGTGTTTCTGTTCGTATACTGTACTGTTTAGGCCAGGCCCTACGCCTAGGCTAAACATAAGAATTGAGTAAAAAAAGTGCAACAGGTCAGGTACGGGCGTTGGGACACAAAAGAAAAATCGTTGTTTTTTTTTTGCCTACCTAGGCCTAGCCTAGGCTTAGGCTTCTTCCTTAACCTAAGGCCTACAATACACAGTACCTAGCCTAGCTAAGCCTAGGCCTAAGTCCTGCCCAAGGCAGGAAATTTGAAAAATAAAATGCATTTTTTCTTTAAATATCACTTACTTATTGTATTTTGTGTCAACCAAAAATATTGAGACTTGTTTTTTGCACAGTTCAATATACTTCACTTTTTTTCAAAATGAATGATTGTATAACTGTCAACTGTCTGACCTCAATTATTGGTATTTTAAATTCGACAACCACACAAGTCATGCCCACAAACATCAATACCTGGAACTTTTTAATATACTCATATTCTATACATAGGAAGTTTCAATTATGCTGTAATTAAAGTTTGAAATACTTCAAGCATAATTATATTTTTGTTGACCAAAAAATATGGTATAAATAACTGGGGTGTGAATATTTTACATGGATGTCCATTGACAGTCAAATACTAATAGCATGTGCAAATGTGGGAAGAAAGTTTACTAATAAATGGTAAATAATTATCTATCTTCCAATAGATTGACATTGGCAATGGTTTACTTATAGAAAAGGACCAGCTCATAGCCATCACTCAGATAAGCGATGGGGCACGAGGCAAATTCAAAATTTGTTTGTTATTGTTTCCGATGCATGAAGTGGTAGGGAAATACAAGTTAGGGAAGAAAAGCAAGGCACATGTGGAACATCTGTAGAGAAAGAGCATTTGGATCCCATCTGAATTACTGCCATAACAGGTAGGTAATTTGTTTAATAAGTTTATGTTTTACCTTTTAAATGAAAATACTGCAGGTTTATGTATTGTAATAAAGGATTTATATTTCAAAAGATAAATGGTACATCAACATGTAATGTAAAGCTTTTTTATTTGGGTCAGACATTGATTTTTTTTCTTTAAATTTTAATCTGAAAGTTTGCATTGTCCCTTTGTAACCAATTAATAACCATCAAAAGGGAGCCCGTCTTTATTACTGACTTAACCTACACAGTAGCTACATCTTACTGTATATGTTTTGCATAGCACTTGAGGGAAGAAACTTTAATATTAGACAGTTAATGAAGAAAATATTTTGCTACAAGTGGAATACTTATATTAAAATTATATTTAAATTTTGTACAAGATAACAAATAATATGAAATAATACTTTTATTGGACCACTACTTTTAAGTGTATTTGCATTTTATTCTTTAGAGATTACCATAACTAATTTTAGACATTGCACCGAAATTATTAAAATTCATCCTGCTCCTGGTGGTTGCCCGTTTATGAGTTTTTGATTTAGAAGCCTATAAGAGTATTCAATTTGTTTGCATTTTTTTACCCCCCAGATTTCCTGAGGCTTCAACTACTCTTTTGAGGCAGTCTCTGCCAAACAGAATAAAGAAA